TGGCGACGTGCTGAACAAAAGGGAGATGGAAGCCACTGCCATGCTGGAAACTCCGAGCGTGATATCAGTGGGCCAGCTCTGTGTGGATCACGGTTACAGTTTCCACTGGGCAACCGGCAGAGCGCCGTGCTTACTGCTGCCACGGGGAAGAAGGTTGGAGCTCTCTGTCGAGGGAAAGATTCCTGAGCTTACCAAGAATGGCAGAAGTGGCCTTGGGTCAAGTAGACGAGGCAGCTCCCGCCGGCTCGTCTGGGCTCGAGCGGTGGGCGTGTGTGGAGATCGGCGCGAGGTCCAGCCTGGGCGACCCTGGTGCGCTGGGTGGCCCCCCGCTCCAGGCACTCAGGCGCCGCGCAACCCTTGAGCTGCGCTCTCGGAAGGTCCGGTGGCGGGATGTCAGTTCCATCGGCGAGGAGCGATTTGGTTTTACCGAAAAGGGATATACGTGGTGCAAGGTAAGGGGTACGAGCTATGTAATGGAAACTATGTGGTGCGAGCTGTTCGGTGTAAGCAATGTGATGCAAACTACGTGATGCAAGCGACGTGTTGCATGTGTGGTGCAAGCTCTGTGCGCAGGCTGGCATGCTCCCACGAGACGCCCGCGACCGTTCACGGGCGGCAACGTGGCGAAACTTAGGAACATATATCTATCACGCGAAGCGCCCACGAGGCACGTACGGGCGGCACGTAACGTGGTGAAAGTTCGACATACCTATCCAGCACGCGAAGCGCCCACGAGGAGCCCTCGGGCGGCAACGTGCGGCAACCTGGTGAAACCTTGGTACGCCCATGTCCTTCAGGTAACACAAGTCAGCATCCCTAGGAGCAAACACTTACACAATGGCACATGTAAAACACCATACACGTGTTATGGGTGGTGCAAGCCATTTGGTGCAAGTTATTTGGTACTCGGTTTGTGGAGTGATTTCAGTGGTGTAAGCTACCATGTGCCTTTCAGGAACCCTTGGGAAACCTCTCGTAAGCCTTTTTTTTGAGACTTTTTGGCAGCCTTTCGGAAGCCTTTTGGAAACCGATCTGAAGCCTCGCGGAAGCCTTTCGGAAGCCTGCCAGAAGCCTTCGGGGAACGTCTCATAAACTTCCAGCGAAGCCTCTCGGACGCCTCTCAAGCCTCCCAAAAGTCTCTTCGAAGCCTTTCGGAAACCTCTCCGACGCCTTTCGGAAGTCTCTCGGAGGCCTCTCGGAGGCCTCTCGGGAGCCTCTCAGGGACTTTTGGGAGCCTGTCGGGAGCTTGCCGGGAGCTTTTCGCACGCTTTTTGACAGCTCCTCGGGAGCGTTTCGGACGCCTAACCTTTTCAGGATGCCTCAGAATCATGTCGGAAGCATCCTGGCAGCATTTCGGAAGCTTCACGACCGTACGCACTTGCCAGAGCGTTTCCTTGGAGCGCCCGTCGGTTCTTGCCAGGACGCTTCACAGCGGCGCTCGACCGTACCTGCGAGATGTATCCCTCGAGCAATGGGCCATCTGTGCCAAGACGGTTGCTTGGGGCGCCCGAGCGTACCTGCAAGGATGCAACCTCAGGGCGTTCAACGGTACCTCAGAAGCTCCTCCTGAGCCTCTCGAAGGAGCTTCCCAAAGGCGTGCCAGCGGCCGCTCAGACGCTTCTCACAAGCTTCTAAGGAGCCCCCCACAAGTCTTTCATGAGCCTGTCGTGCGCCTCGTAGAAGCCTCTCACAATCCTCTTGTGGACGTCTCAGCCGCCTTTCGGAAGCCTCTCACAAGCCTCTAGAGATGCCCCAAAAGCCTCGTAGAAGCATTCGATGAGCCTCTCAGAAGCCTCTGAGGAGCCTGTCAGGAACCTCGCATAAGCGTAATCCATTACATCAGTCAGAGGAGATAACCCAGTTTACCTGGAACGGGCACACTTTATCAGGACAAAGACGATGACCAGGAGGTTGATGATGATGATGATGGTGATGACGATGATGACGATGATGCTGATGATGCTGCTGCTGATGATGCTGGCGATGATGACGATGATGCTCATGCTGAGGATGCTGATGACTATGATGATGCTGCTGGTGATGACGAAGACGATGATGCTGATGATGTTGATGATGATGATGGTGATGCCGATACCGATGACGATTGTGATGACGGTGATGCTGATGCTGATGCTGATGCTGATGATGATGATGATGATGGTGGTGGTGGTGGTGGTGGTGATGATGATTATGATGTTGACTTTGTTGATGCTAATGGTGATAAGGATTATGCTGCTGCTGATGATGATGATGATGACGATGGTGATGACGATGATGATGCTGATGCTCATGTTGTTGATACTAATGCTGATGATCATGTTGCTGCTGATGATGCTGATGATGCTGATGATGATGACGATGATGACGATGATGCTGATGATGCTGCTGCTGATGATGCTGACGATGATGACGATGATGCTCATGCTGAGGATGCTGATGACTATGATGATGCTGCTGGTGATGACGAAGACGATGATGCTGATGATGTTGATGATGATGATGGTGATGCCGATACCGATGACGATTGTGATGACGGTGATGCTGATGCTGATGCTGATGAGTGGTGGTGGTGATGATTATGATGTTGACTTTGTTGATGCTAATGGTGATAAGGATTCTGCTGCTGCTGATGATGATGACGATGGTGATGACGATGATGATGCTGATGATGATGATGATGATGATGATGATGATGACGATGCTGCTGATGATGAGGATATTGATGACTATGATGGTGTTGCTACTGATGATGACGATGATTCTGATGATTTCGTTGTTGACGACGACGGTGATGATGCTGATGATTTTGCTGGTGATGACGATATCGATGACGATGACGATGATGATGATGATGATGATGATGATGATGATTATGATGATGATGATGACCATGATGATGATGCTGATGATGATGATGATGATGATCATGATGATGAGTAGGCTCATGATGCTGCTGCTGCTGCTGATGCTGATGATGATGATGATGCTACTGATGATGATGATGATGACGATGATGATGATGATGGCGATGATGCTGCTGATGATGAAGATGATGATGATGAGGAGGATGATGCTGCTGCTGATGCTGATGATGATGGCGGTGATGATGATGCTGATGATGATGATGATGATGATCACGATGGTACTTATGATGATAATGTCGATGCTGATGATGATGCTGATGATGCTGATGCTGACGATGATGTTGATGCTGATGCTGATGATGATGGTGATGATGCTGATGATGATGACGATGATGATGATGATGATGATGCTGATGCTGACGATGTTGATGATGATGCTGATGCTGACGATGATGATGATGATGATGATGATGATGATGGGTGATGATGATGATGATCCTGATGCTGCTGATGATGATGATGTTGGTGATGCTTCTGATGATGACGATGATGATGATGATGCTGATGCTAATGGCGATGTTGATCATGATGATGCTGATGATGATGCTGATGATGATACTGGTGATGATGGTGATGATGGTGATGATGATGATGCTGATGGTGATGCTGATGGTGATGATGATGGTGATGATGATGGTGATGATGATGATGATGATGATGATGATCCTGATGATGATGATGATGGTGACGATGATGATGATGCTGATGATCCTGATGATGATGATGGCGATGATGATGATGATGATGATGATGATGATGATGATGATGATGATGATGATGATGATGATGATGATGATGATGATGATGATGATGCTGATGATGATGCTTGATGATGATGATGATGATGATGATGATGGTGATGGTGATGGTGATGGTGATGGTGATGCTGATGATGCTGATGATGATGATGATGATGATGATGATGCTGATGATGATGATGATGATGATGATGATGATGATGATGATGATGATGATGATGATGATGATGATATGATGATGATGGTGATGGTGGTGGTGGTGGTGTGTTGGTGGTGGTGGTGTGACGCTGCTGCTGATGATGATGAGGAGGAGGAGGAGGAGGAGGAGGAGGAGGAAGAGGAGGAGATGGAGGAAGAGGAGGGGGAAGGTATTTTTTAGCAAAATAATATTTGGAGGAGGAGGAGGAGGAGGCGGAAGAGTAGGAAGGAGGGAGGAGGAGGAGAACGAGGAAGAGGACGAAGAAGAGGGGGAGGAGGTTGGTTCCCCTTCAAACATCGTCCCGCAGACCTTTCCGACGGTGTGTTCTAGCCAGAAGCTCGGGGCGGGTCCATCCACGCCGACGAGGGCGCCCAGGAGGCCCAGAAAGGCTCCAAAACGTCAGCCAGTCCGTACCCCCATTCGGGGTTTACGAGGGGTATTCCTGGCTTCAGGTGCCCCAGCTTCTCGTGCTACTTTGGAGGTTCCTTGGACCCCCGAGGGCCTCGCGCAGGGTGACTTGCAGGCCGTGGGGCCTCCCTGGAAATCACCAGGGCGCCCTGGGCCAGCCTCTCATTTGGCAACTCCGCCAGACGTCTCGGTTCGGGGGTCGAATCATCGACCCCAGACCTCTCCAGCAATGCGTTCTGACCAGAATTTCGAGGGGCATCCAGCCGTGGCCACGAGAAGCCTGCTGGAGGCCCCCAGAGGGCCAACAATGTTCATTCCTCTGGTCCTCGACCCTCGACCTTCGCTCCTCATCCTCCGACGTCCTGTCCCTCTTCGTGACGTGGGCCCTGTGACCCCTCGCCCGACGTGGGCGACGAGAGGCCCAAAAAGGACCAAGAGCGTCCAGAACCTCGAGCCTTGATGATCGAGGTTCGAGGTTTTTGGACGCCCTTGGGCGCGGAGGTTCGAGGCTCACATGAACCTCGATGATCGAGGATCGAGGTTCACATCGGAGGATCATGCGCCGATGTATACTTTTCAATCCGCCCCCTTCCCTCGGGGTAGCTTTGCGCCCCGGAGGCCGAACTCGAGGAGAAAGAATCGCCGCGTGTGATGGAATCAGATCACGGAAGATTTGGGAGCGCCGATCCTCGGCCCTCCCTCCCCCCCAGCGTTCGCTCCGGGCGCCGCGTGGATCCCGCTGGGGGCGCATCTCGAGCGTGCGCGCGGCTCGGACGGCCGCGCGCGCGCGGCGCGCGCCGCTGGGCGGCGGAGCGCGCGCTCCACCTTCGGCGGCACGCGAGAGTGGCCCTTCGCCTTGGTGGCCTCTGCTGCGCGGCCTTCGCCCTGGGCTCGGACTTTGTCTCTTCTGGCGCTTCTCCTCGGTTCGGGCCCCTGGGGCCAGCGGTGCGGCCCCGTGCCATCGAGCGTGGCCCCAGGGCGACAAAAGCTACGCCCAGGCAAGGGGTCGGGACTTCTCGGGCCGCGCATTGAACAACTCGGATCGTCGGATGTCCAGGGGTGTGCCAGGGGGGGGGGGGCAAAGCCCGGCACGTAGGCCGCTGCTGTCGCATCGCATGCAGCGAGCGGTAAGCCCCGCGCCATGGGTCACCTTTGCCTGGTGTCGCCCTTACGTGCATCTGACATCTGCCCGAAGCACCGCGCTCCCTTCGGGAGGGGGAGTCGAGCCCTTCATACGTCGCGAGGTCTCCAGACGTCTAACGTCTCGGACAACTCAGGACGGTCGCTGTTATCGGTCTCTAGGGGCCCTTGCCATGCCCCGGGACCGCCGTAGTACGCATGCCCATCGCACGCAGCGATCGTCAAGCCGCGCGCGTGAAGGGTCACTCTCGCCTGGGGCCACACCTGCGTCTACTTCTCCGAAGCTCCCCCAGTTGGTGGCTCGTCTGCCCCTCTCCCGATCCCTCCCGCTCTGCCTTTCTCTGCTTCTCGGCCCCCTCTGACAGCTCTAGGCTTCCCAAATTGGGTTCGAGTATATGGGGTCGGTGGATCCCTCCGCATCGCCGATGCATCGGAGATGCAACTTGATGTGGAGCCCGACTTTCTCCACGCCAGTGTCGCCGATGCATTGGCGATGCATCGGTGAGGCGCGGCGCGATCCTCCTACCCCATCTGCTCGTCCCCGATGTGAGAGTCCTCGGACGTCTCGACCCGTTACAGGTTTTGGGCAGCTGCTGGTCGGCGGCTGTCGCTTTTGGTGGTTGATCATTTTGCTCGAGGGTGGCTGCGCTTCACGCCGCAGCCGAGGGAGCCAGGAAAAGGTGCCTTCGCCGTTTCCTTGCCTTCCTCATCGTATCACTCTCCCTCCCTCCGCCGGGTGTCCTCCTTGGCGGAGTGGCCGCCGAGGATCGCCGAGGACCGCCGACGGGGCTGCCTACGGGCCCTTGGACTCCGACCTCCTCGCGTTGCAAAATGGTCACGGCGGAGGGGTTTCAGCCTTTTTCGGCCTCCAGGGGCCCGCACTGGGCCCCGGGGGCCGTCAGAGAACGGCTCTGGAGGAGAAGCCAGTCCCTGCGGAAGGGGCCGGGACCTTCTGGGGTCCGCATTGCGAAGATCATCTCCAAGGCAAAAAGGTATCCCCAGAATTCCGACGTCACAATGTTTCAGAGGTTCTTCACGCTTCGCGTATCCCCACCAGTCCGTAGCCACTGGCTCAAGCCGTCTGGTGGGCCTGCCCCCTCCGGGGCAGTCTCCCACCTCTCGAGGGGGCGCCCGGACGCCGTTTACTTTCCAGCCCAGGGCCGCTTTCCCCCCAGATGGCGGCGCAGGCGATGGCTGATCCGCACCAGGGACTACTTGGAGATGGTGATCCAGCAGTACGCGGCACGGGAGACTGTGTACTGGCTCCAATGAAGACATTTCCCCCACAGAGTGAACAGCCCCCGCCAATACGCGAGGACGAGCCAGCACTGAGCACGGATCCAAGACCACCCCCGAGGCGCGAGGGGGAAGAAGACTTACAGGTGCTGGTGGAGGGACACGTCCTTGAGAGGAACCCTGAACGCATCCCATTCCCCCCTGCACCTCCCGCCTCCCCTCGCAGTGGAGCGGACGGCCCACAGTGGACGCAATCAGAGGACACACCTCGGTCCACAACGGTTGGAAATAGGGATGGGGCGCAGGCTCGGGAGGCAGCTCTGGAAGCTTGCCCAGTCGACAGAGCCTCCCCCCCGGCAAGGGTGGACACTGACCCTCCTCAGGACGGCGCGGATCGAGGCGTCAATGCTCCCCCTGTCTCATCCTATGATCCACCAGTGACCGTGGCTATCGGCCGCACCTCCTCCTCTTCTCATCCCCCTGAGTTGCAGGATTCATGTGCCGCGTCACCTGGAATGCGACAGGTCGGCCAGGGTTCGGCTGGCGGAGTGTCCAGCGCTGGGGGAGTACCGTCAAGGACGGAGACGGCCTTCCCACAGCCCCATGACAGAGAGGCTACGAGTAGAGGGCCAGTGTTCCCCGACGGTGACCCCCCATCTCCGTGCATTTTACCTGATCCAGCGGCTATCGGCTGCGCCTCCCTTTCTCCCCCTCCAACTTCACCAGTGAACGTGGCTATCGGCCACACTTCCCCCCGCTCTCATCCTCCAGTGGCGTGCGACTTATCAGATCCAGCGGCTATTGGCTGCACCTCCCCTCCCTCTCCCCCTCGCGAGACGCAGGATGGCTTGGCCACGGCTCAGAGACCCCCCCGTGATGCCGAGGCGCACGCGCCCGTGCCCCCCGAGGTAGCAGCGGTAGGCAATGCCACCTATATTGGAGCTACGCAGAGTGGGGGACACAGCCCTCCCCCACTGCCTTCACAGCTTGGCCCCCCCGAGCCGAAAGGGCCGTGGAGCGAGCTGCGGCCACCCCGGTGCCTGACTCGGGGGGCGACCTCGAGAGAACCCCCACCGTGCCCTTTAACCCGAGGGGAGACAGCGCGGACGGGGAGGGGCAGCGTGAAGCGGAACACGGCCATGGAAATAGGGCAGGGACAGACTCGGGAAGAGTCGAACCCAGGAGAAGACGAGCAAGACGACAGGCTCCCGTTTGAGGAGGCACACGATTGGGGTGCCGACGATGAAAGCACTTCGGATTCGGACGCTTGGGGTCAGTCAGCACAGCCCAACCTCCCCCCCACCACGCATCTGGTCATCCCGAGTTGGAAGGGCAGGGGCGCGCAGCCCCGCAGGAGGAGAGGACAATCGCGGACAAGGGGGACAAGGCCCCCAGTCTGGGCCTCCTCCGCCTCCGGGAGGGGACGTGTCTCGTAATATTGACGCTCCCTGCCAGGCCCCCACAGTGATGGACCTTAGGAATGCCATGAGGGGAGGCCCCCTCTCAGCCCTTCTCGAGCGACACGAGCCTAGGGGTGGGCCATGGAGGATGCGCAGGGCCTCCCCCGGCAGTCAAGTAATGAAAGAAAGATTGGTTGGGCTGATAAGGCGATGTTGGCTCCGCCACCCCCTGGGGAATTTCGGTTCCCCAGCGGCAGGTGGCGACGACCGGCCCGACAGGAACCAAACGGAACGGGGGGGCACAGGGGGCGTCCGCAGCGTCGCGTCAGCCATGGCTCACCTGGACCTTGCATGGCTGGTGTGGTCCATCGCGGGCTCCGATCACGAGACTAGGCTGGGTGGAGTCGGGCCAGACCCTGTTCAGGTGCTTGCCTTCCGCTATGCCAGTCTCGCACAAGACCCGGACATCGGGGATGACATGCAAGATGTTCATGGGCCTACACAGGGGGAAACCCTAGCGGCGGAAGCGGAATGCGACACTCTATACCACGCTGCCCTCTACGTGGACATAGGTATGTGCGAACCTACGGACCAGATCTTTGTCCCAACCTTCCTAGGTATGTCCAGGTGGCGGCGCGACCCTGCGCCCGACGCGGCGGACAATGGACCCACTGACGCGAACTTGGAGCGAAAGGCCAGGATCTGCAAACATCTGGTCCACGAGCACCGCCGCAACACCGTGCACTTTCCGGACCGCAGCGAAGTCCGACGTTGGGCCAGCAGCAGAGGGCGCTGGGTCGAGGTTGGTACAGATGTCCTCTCAACACCGCAACAGGGCCTGGGCCGCGACTGGTGGGCTACACCAGCTATTCACAGCGCTGAACCGCAGCCCTCCGACATAGGGGGGCCCGGAGACTTTGAAGTCGACATTCCGACAGGACCGTGGCCCGTCAACAGTGCCTCCCAAATTGCCATGAGTGGGGATTTCTTTCATCCCAAAGGCAGATGTGGAACTGTGGATGTTGGTACCTGAGGCAGGACACGAGTAGCTGCATCGTGTGTCGCAGGCTAGGATCAGCGTGGGCCACCGACGCGGACAGCTCTCCCACCACCGAGCTGGAAGCTCCCAACCACCCCCTGGACCTGCTGGGCACCAGGCTCACGTTCCAGCTGGCCAGGGTGGGAGCTCGCTACGCGCCCATCGCCGGCCACATCGACAACGAGCGTCGCCCGTCAGAGACCGCCAGTTTCTGTCCGTCTTGGCTGATATCAGAGCTCCTTGCAGCATGGCGTCACATGGCGGAGGTCGAACTGGAGAACCTCGGGGGGCGTGGCCTGCCGGAAGGGCGAATGCCCGGCGCGCCAGGGCCATGGGGCGAGCCGGCGCTCTGGGCAGCGGCTGGCTCTTTGGCCAGGCTCTGCTGTGCACTGCTGGGATGGGCTATAGAGGCGACGACGAACATCCAGCACTCCATGCGACAGCACCTCCTCGGCGGCCGGCTTCGTGAGTGGGCCCCGAGATGCCTCTTGGGCGCCCCCGCCGCCAACATGCCGGCACAGCCCCCTGCAGCGAGAGGCCCGACTCAGGGCGCACGGGGCCCAAGGACTAGGTACCAACATTGCTTCGAAGGCCTCCAGGTCGGAGACGTGGAATGGCTCCGAAGAGAAATCGGAGGCACGTTCATTGCCCAGGCCCTCGCCATCACTCCGCCAGACAGGACATGGGCGACAGACACAAGCCCTGAGGCGATTGGAGCAACGGAAGTGGCGTGCAGAGCCGTAGTGGCGGCCGCCACGGACAGCGGGATATTAATAGCATGCAGCCTGGTCCCTGGGACCCCGCGCGGGGAGGCTCTGCGACTGGCGATAGCCCTGCGGGCGAGAGCGAGAGGAATCGGGGCCCCGGTAGCCCGAGAAGACCGCCAACAGGGCCGAGCACCCCAACGCCAAGTCCGACAGCGTTCCCACCTCGCAGAAGTGAAGGAACGCCAGGCGAGTGCTGCAAGACATCCAGGACATCCGCGCCCAGGTTGCGATCGACAACGTGCCACCCAACATGACGTGGGGTCGACTGGTGGTGCCCTTCATATGGGGGGCAGCGACAGAAGAAGGTATGACCACTTTCGAGCGTGCGTTTGAAGCCACGGGGATCCCCATTTCCCTGGCGAGGCGGGCTGGCGAAAGATGGCAACAGGTGGGGGTCGCTACCCTGGAGGGGGTACGCCGCAGGCTCGGACTAGCGGCAGCCAACCTGACGACAGAAATCGGAAGGACAGTCGCATCCCCCCTTCTCGGTGGGTACATTGATCCCCCGCTGCAGGAAAGCATGATGAGGTGGCTTGGCCCCCGTGGGCAACTCCAGGAAGCGGTGCTAACGGCAGACAGACAAGCGGTCGAAAGCGGCGCGCGACTGCGTAGCGTTCGGGCCCAGGACCGAAGCAACGGGCACGGGGGCAGCGTAGCAGGTAGACAGCAGCCCACCTCCCCCGCGCGAGGAAGGGCACAAAGCACCACCACCCCGTGGCACGAGAGCACCAGACAGCAGCCTGGGGGACGCACTAGCGACAGCGGCAGGGGTGCCGCACAGGTATTCAGTAGGGGAGGAACCCTGGACGCCTTGATACGCCCTGGACCAGCTTATCCCTGAGCAGCCGTTAGCTGCATCCCTGGCATCCCCGGCACGCTGACAGTCGCTGCATGGCTTGCGCCGCGGGCGGGCCGATGGTACCATTCGCATCTGACCCATTGCAGGCTTCGCCTTCCCTGGGTTCGCTCCGCTCTCTTCTCTCAACGCTGAGCAGTCGTTAGCTGCATCCCTGGATCTCGTTCCCGTGCCTCGGCCTTCCTCCCCCTCCTCTCCGGGTGGCCCAGGTGGCCCCCCTCCGCCTGGAGGGCCCGTGTTGTCCGTCCCCGCCGGCCCTCCCAGCGGATCCCTCCCTGACAGGGCGGCTGCCCGGTCCCCGCCCCCCTGGGTCGCGGGGGGGATCGCCTTGTGCAGCTCCTCCCCGGATTCCCTTGCCTCGCTGGCGATGTTCATCCCCGCCAGCCTGGCCTTTCTCATGCAGTGCATCAGTCGGCGACCTTTGGGCAGCTGATGGAGGGGCTGGCCCTTGGGGTACTTTGGGTCTTTGCCCCCCGTGCACGGGATGGTGCACCTTGGAGCCGCGTGGTCGCTCCCGAGTGGTTCAGCCTTCGCAGTCGCGGCCGCTCCCTTGGACCCATCCCATCCGTCAGGCACTTTTGACGGTTCTACACCAGGTACCGGGCTATTTAG